CTGGTAAAGACCGGTCAGTCGATCAAGATATAGATTGACTGGTATTAATCGGTGACCAGTATAAAAAGCATAAAAAAAAAGTCAATAAAGAATTACAGGAATAGCATTTACAATTACAAATCTAAAAAGTATAAATTATATACAAAAATTTAAATTTAAATTGTACAAGTGTGATTTGCACTATCCATGTTTATTAGGTTCCAGTTATAACCACCGTCAAGTTAACTCTGCAAGAAATAAGAGCTGCCACACGTTCGAGTAACTCTGAAAATCAGAACTAGAATTCAATAATGCCACTCTAGTTTTCCATAACTGTTACAAATCCAGTAATTTTCCATCCCCTTCGAACGTAAATTATTCGTTTAGAAATCAAACATTGTGGCTTGAAACCTACTATTGTAAATCATTGGCGGCAATTTAATTTTCACTAAGCCACGAAATCTTGAAGAAAAAATGAGAGAATGGTGCTAAATAAAAGGTCTGAAAAAAAAGCGCGGGGATAATCTATATATATTTAAGGCTGGTTTCCATATGATCGCAGACGACCGCAGACGATTGCGGATCGCAGACGATCGCAAAGAGAGTTGTTTACACTAATTGCAGACGATCGCAAACGATCGCAGAGCCGACTGTTACATATATTTCAGTCAGCGGAAGTGTCGAAATTACACGCGCGTTGTACTGACGGGAAAATCGCAACAAACAACATGGCGGACGTCGAGGAGGAAATTTTGCTGCAAGCAAAACCCCTGTGTGCAATATGTGGATTGAGTTATTCCAGATTTTGAAATTCTCTTAGTACTGCATCTCGCCCCAATCCAGAAGGTAGCGTTTTCAATCGCTTCAGATAACGACCATACGCAGTTCTTATGTGGCGGAATTTGATCTCCGCCTCCGCCGCCGATAAATTAAATCTCTCCCCGATTTTTTCCCAGCAGTTAGCCTTTTTGTTTTTGTCTTTGAAATCTTTACTGTTACGGTGGTAAACGCACTCATATCGCGCAACTTCCTCCGTAAATTCCTCGTTACTAACGTTACCTTGTTCAACGCCAGCCATGTTTACAACAAATAAGCGGTTGCTACAAACGAATATTCGGGCTTTGTTAAGAAGCGTTGAATCATGGGTCGGAATTCAAAATATTATGGGACACGTTTCGATCGCAGATCGCAGGGCTTTGGTTTCCATATGATGCACGGTCGCAATTGATCACAGACGATCGTCTGCGATCACGATCGCAGGATCGCAGACGATCACAGAAGTGTGTTTCCATATATGATCGCAGACGATCGCAAAACTTTTTAAGATCTGCGATCAGCGATCCGCGATCGTCCGCGATCATATGGAAACCAGCCTTTAGATTACGAATTTAAAGTCAGATTTCGTAACCACAAATCAGCCATGAGAATACAAAGAAGAACACTCGTGAGGTTGCGATATATAAACTTTAACAAGGAAACTCCTGTCTTGTCGGATTTTGATTTCGTCATCATTAAGCAAATTTGCAGTTTCAGTGATCACAATAACCTCGACGATCGCTTGCTAACAAGAGAAGCTTTGCACTTTGCACAACTTTGCACCCTTCGACCTCACGGTTTGAATAAAAGATCAGAGTTTAACTCTAGAAATAGAACTAGGTATGGACAGAATCATATTAACACTTCAACACTTCTCCTTTCTGAGTCGTCAAAAAAAGTTTTTATTTTTGTATTCTTAATTAACATAATTCATCTCATTAACCGTTCAAAGGCTCAATCAAGGATTTTGTTATAGGGCTGAGAGTATAATACACAGTACTGGAGTTCAGGGGCCGATAATTAGGATTTTGTTATTAACCATTCAAAGGCCTTTCTTTTCGGAACCTGGTACGAAGAATGGTATTTTGAGCTAGAAAACGCCTTTCCGCCTTTGTTCAAGGGCTTTGGCTTGAGATTTCGTTACGACATTACTTTTTCTTTCCATCATCGTTTGTAATTACACAATACCCTAGTGGTCTGGTGCCTATCTTTTTACACCGTTAATTTCATTGTTTCCAATTGTTATTTTGAATGCATTGTGATTTTTAGCCTATTTCATAGAGATAATTTTTATTCCAAGTACTGTCGAACCTCCGGTGGCGACCACCTCTCCTCAGCGACCAGTTTTCCAAAATACCAAAAGTTTGTAAGTGAAATCACTATACTATATTTTGAACCTCTTGTAAGCGAAAACTTCTCGTATGCGACCGCGACCACTTTTTGAGCTAAAAGTTTGAAATTTTCTTTTGTTTTTAAACTCCCGTAATCAACCACTTGACAGACAATATCTGGTTTTCACATGACGTCACTAAAATTCAAATTACAAAACTATTGATCTTCCTGAGATTTTACTTGAATGATGTACAAGAGTAACTGAGAACTAATATTCATACAAATTTTCGCCCCGAATGGGTTCTTGGTTTTCTGATACAATACGCTTGAATTTCTAAGCTTTTGCGTGACGCGGCAATTACATGACGGCCTAGAGAGCTGTCATGATGGTTAAAAAAAGTGACCTATTTCGGGGAATTTGGTCATCTGAACAGTTCAGGTCTTAAAGAAAGTATTATTTTAATATTTTGGAGTTCCTCGAGGGATAAATTCATGATTTTGTTGCAAAAGTCAGTGACAGATGTTTCTGTTGGTTTTCGGACGCCATCTTGGTGCTCATACGGCTGGGCACCAACTGGCGTCTCCATACAAATCTCTATAAATTTGGGTTAAAAATTCTCCGCATATCTTGCATAAGAAAAATTGCTGTGACCAGAATCTTGGCGAGAGTCTTTGCATATTTACGTTCTTTTATTTCCCAGAATCTGTGAAATAAATTATCTATTGAACGGTTTTGATTTTTATTTTGATCTATTTTGAATGCCTTGACCCTGAAA